AATAGAGATGTATAATCAGCTATTACCATGGAATTTGAACTTAAAAACACTTGTTGATTTTAAAACTCTTACTGACAAATATTTTCTTGATAAATTATTAGGATTCATTTGGCGTCAAGTGAGGATAATTATCTATTACTTTGAATATACACCTGTAGCAAATATCAGTAACGAAATATTCCGTAGGCTGAATGTATCTACTAAATGGTACTATACAGGAACATCAGAATTGAATAATATCTTGTTTTTAACTGAGGAGACTTCTAGAGTAATCAACACAATGGCATCTCTTATCCAAATGCTTGAAACTGTTAGCGTAACAGCGATCGATCATTTTTTGAAGGCTGTAAATAATATTCAAAATTCATATGAAGGAATGGGGAACAATGTTGATATGTCATTAAATATCAATGGAACTAATTTTGCAATTCAATTGAACCAAACCTTTTTAAACAACTGTTACGATGCTTTAAATTATATCAATAATTATATTTGGATTATAAACAAATCGAAAGTATTAAACAATAACCTGGATACCTATAATCTTGATGAAAACTGTAAAACAGACAGTTTAGACCATGTATTTACAGAAAATCAATTATCTAGCAGTGTTTCCGCTGTGAATATTCCAACAGAAGACGAAGGTGACAATACACAATCAAAGAGAAAAAGAGAAGATTAGTTTAATTTCATACTACATCACACGCCTGTTATGACTTTTTTATTTGTTATTGTTTTTATTATTCAACTCCCTGGGTATATATTTACATTTTTTTCCTGATTTCATTAAAACTAGAGAAATAAAACTCTTAAGGTTTTTGATTTGATTTGTGGTGAATTATATTTTTAATATTTTTATTTTTTATGCTGGCAACATGTTTATAATAGTTTTATTCACTTTATTCATTAATTTCCTTTGGTTTTTGTTGTTATACAAAACACTGAAAATAAATAGGGTTATCAATTATATATTGTATTTAACTAATTCTAAATAAATTTGTTTATTCTAATATACTCGTTTGTAATGCAATTGTAAAATGAAAAAAAATTAATTACCAATATTACAGATATTGTAACGTGACAATATGATACCCCTTATTTTGTATTTCATGTAA